CACACAAAGAAAATGATTTGAATTTAAAAAAGAAAATATTTTAACATAAATAACATGCATGTTATTGTGTAAAGTATTTCTAATTCTTCTGTGAATTAACAGCTGTGTGATATTTTTTTTTCTTGTAGTACGGTGGTAATCCAGTGGCTTGCAGTGTGGCAAATGCAGTTCTTGATATAATTGAGAATGAAAATCTACAGCAACATGCTCTAGAGCTTGGTGACTACCTGAAGGAAAAGCTCCTACAGCTACAAACCAAACACAGACTTATTGGAGAAGTCAGGTAGTGACCAACAGCTTATTTCTCCTAACAGTATTAAGTTGGACATGGAGACGGGTAACGAGAATACAGAAAATCATCATTTAGTTGATGTGCTACCAGATTCACAACTTACATTATTTTTTTTAATCATTTGATAATTTAAAAGTTCTTGTCCAAGTCAGGAAAAGAACTTTTATATTTACAGGATTAGTCAGTGAGTGTTGCTGATAATGTCCTTGTTATGGTCAATGAATTTTTTTTTTTTTTCTGTGAAATAAACTAAAGGAAATTTCCAAGAACGCTTTCATTTTGCAAATTCATAAAAGAAATGTGCGCTAGTCCATAATAATCACTATATCATTATGTCTACAATAAGCATCCCGCCTTTTCAAAGCTCGCAAATCAAAATAAGCATCACGGACGCAAAATAAAATCGTTATGGTAGTAAATAGGAGTGAATTTGTTTCCTCGTGCCTCAGGCAACTATAAATCGTTCAAAAGTGGTGGCTAACCGTGTACAGTTTTGAGTGAACTTGTACGGATCGTGTCATTACTGTACATTTTAAAGCTGTGTTCATTTGGTTCTTGTCTTTTCAGGGGTATGGGACTGTTCATTGGAGTAGAGTTGGTGACTGATCAAACAACAAAAGAACCAGCCACAGAGGAAGCCAAAAGAATTACTTACAAGTGAGAATACGTTTAAGGACCAGACATAGTCGTTACAACATTAGCACAACGTGTCCAGCCCTTAACTTCTTGTACGCAGAGTAAAATTGCGTTCTTATTTTTAACGTAGTATGCAACAATTTCAGTGTCCATCTACTATGTGCAACAGTGCATGCAAAAGCTCTATAACGGGGTGCTAGGCTCCTTTTTTTGTCCCTCTGTCAAGAGGAAAAATATTACCTGTTGCCTGTCCACTTTCAGTTCCATCTTTGCTGACCTCTTCATATACCAACCTGAACTTTAAAGTATTATTTATTGTTCTCTTACATTTTATTAAATTATTGAGCGACTTCTGTTTTGATGTCAAGACGTTATTCCTGAGGTGCTCAGATTGTCAACTCCATGCCTCGATTTGCTATTACATAGAAAAGTGAAGTTAGATGCATTATACTGAGAGCACTTCAACTCGTCTTGTTCTCACAGGGCTAAAGACAGGTTTGTTCTCATATCTGCTGATGGACCCCACAATAATGTGTTAAAGATCAAGCCTCCAATGTGTTTTGCAAAGAAAGACGCGGACCACCTGTGCTCAGTTTTAGACGAGGTACTGGGAGAAGTGGAAGAATGCTAGTAAACGACACAGCAAAACAAAACAAGAGAACCAGTAAATATACTCAAGAACATGCGATGCATTCCATACATAATCATTCCTCATGGAAGTGACGCTGGGTGAACAGTGTGAATTTAATTGATGCATTTGTATGCGTGTGATGAGTGCATCAACTCATTTACAAAGTTAAATGAGTAAATGAATCTCGTTCACGACCCTTTTTCAAATTTACATGTTTTATTTATCTATTTTTATTGAGAGGTTAAATTAAGGAAGCATGTCCGTGTTTGTTACACTTGCTGTTACATTATTATTTAATCATAAACTCTTACATACTTTTGAAATCTTGATAGAAGCTTATTTTTGTGTTTCATACAACAAATTGCTGTCCAGACAGACCAGTCAGGTGGTAGCTCCTTTGGTTATTTCCGAGGTTTGTCAATGGTGCAATTTTTTTGGGGAGGGGCTAACTGTAGTTATCAGCCATTAAGGTATTTTTCTAATGCCATAAACACGGTTATTATCCTCAAAGTACACAAAAGTGTAGCTTAGATTTTGGATATCAGTAAATTTAATCAGTGGTACATTCTTGGATTTTGGATGAGACTTGACAATAGTAATGCTCTGGGTTAGAAATGAATATTTTAAAGGATTTTGAAACGGGCTTTATTCGCAAAGTTTAGCGGATAAAATATAGTTAAGCTAGTACTTTTTTCTAGGATTGAATTTCTTGTGCAGTTTATTTGTCTGTATATCTTATGTTGGTGACTTATGTCGAAAAGGTGTGAAAATGAGCTATCAATCGATAAAAATGCCTTCAGAGTGTGTGCGCAATTCTTCGTATATCAAGACCAAAACATTTTATGAATAAACCGGTTTTATCGCTATTTAATATATTACTGCTATTTTGTTAAAATAATTTGGCTGCCCGCCCCCTCGGTTTCTATCGACTTCGAATCGCCGCTTCCGGTAACTGTTATCTGGTAAAAGCCTTGCTCGCAGTCAAATTATAAGAGCTTATTAATATATAGAGATGCTGGAATGAAAGTAAAATGATATTTCCTTAATAAAACCTAATTTATAATTTTTAAAAACATGTCTTGTTGTTTGATTCAATGTTAGTTATGTACTTCTCCCCGTTGTTTGTCCTGATGACGTGCTCAACGTTCGTGCGCTAGCGTTCAGTTAGTTAGGGCGCAGCGCGAAAAACGGCGAGCGAAAACATATGGGCGAAGTGCGGCGATACAAAGCGTTCTTTCTCTTCCTCTCGCCGCACTTCTCCTGAACGCCTGGAAGAGGCTAAGTTAGTACTAAAAGTAATCGTACAAATGGCAACATGGCTCACACAAGAATAATGTATTCCCATGGAGGGGTTTTGACGTCCGTAGCTCAATTTGATTATTTTATAAGTTCTTTTCACTTTTTTATTAGTTTGTTTATGTTTGTGTCATCCATTTATAAATATATTTACAGAAATTTCAATCTGTAAGGTAGGGAAGCCCAGGGAAGCCAATTATAATAAGGCTTATTTAGCTTACCCACAAACGAAGGAAACTAGAGTTTTGAAGCGGGAGCGAACCACCGTTAGGGAAAGGGGCAAGACAACGCCTTGCAGAGTTAGCTTTTACATCGATTTGTCTTTGCAATTTTTGGATTAAGAAAAGTGAGGTTTGTCCATAAAGTTACACTAAACGCGAGTACAGGATGTTGTGGTGTGCGTGTGGTTTATCATGTGTTGATTCTTGTTTCGGGTCACTGGCGATCAACACTGCACCAAAGAAATCAATATCCTAGCACCAATTACGTATTAGCAGACTGACTTTGACCCAGGGATTTTGACCGGCATATCAGTAATAATTGTACGACTTCAGAACGAATAAAATCTTTGAATTATACTGATTGCACTTCTAACTATAATCATCAGTTAACAAAACGCCTTGTGTAGCGCAATCCCAGCGCAATTGATGACATTTATATGGACAACAATTTTGGGAATTAAAGTTATTTAAACTTCCCGTTTGAAGCTTATGGGGTGTATACACAAATGCATTCTTTATGTGCATGACTTACTGGGTGAGACTGACACAAACAACCTCTGCTTGTTTGACTCCCTTGTGTTTTCACCGAGTGAGTAGTCTTTCAGCGACACCCTGTTTCGTTTCAAGAACTCCTTTTCTCACAGCAGGCCCGTGGTAGGTAACTTAGTTTAACGTTGAAAGTACAACTGAAGTCATTCATTGATAAGTTGAATAATAATCTGAACACTGGTACATGCAAACATTGTGACGTATCAGAGTTCACAAACACAAAACAGCGAACATATGCCAGTGAATTTTCCTATCGACGACAGGCTTCACATGTTTAGAGCTAGTCTTTGATAATATGAGATTATAGAAACCGTACTTGTTTTCCGTGTTTTTGATCTACTGAAATCACCAACCACTGAGCATCATTTCCTTGACTAAAACTCTTAATGGTTGACAACGCGAACTTCCACTTAAGAGACACGGAATGAGATGGTTTCTCGTTGATGAACCTTTTCCGCTCATTTTTGCTTTTGTAATCTTGCAGGAGCAGGTAGTGTTTGCGTTCGATTAGCTAGGGACCTTACTCCCCGGCGCAACAGCAAACCGTCAGTTCACTGTGAGTATCGAGTGAGTGTAATTCAATAAGGTTTATTGAAATAACGGCAACACTGAACAGGCAGTATTCTCGATAGCCTCATGTTAAATATAATAAAGTCGCTGATTTATTCGATGTGAAAAATGAACAATATTAAATGCAAATAGATAAATAACTAACTTGATGGATGAATAGATAGGTGAATAGATATATTGCATTGCGCAGCCGACCATCCGTGACCAAACTGATTGGTACTGTTGGCAAGCGAGTGCTACGTTATACATCATGCGCGGGGGCACCGAGTAAAAAACTCAACAAAATCTAGTGCTGATGGCCGCTGCGAACAGGTTAGATTAGTGCGAGAGTATTTTTGTGGGATGCTAGACTGTTCACAGCCCTGCATTCCATTTTCGCGTATTTCTATTCGATCGTTAAACGCGCGGATAGGGTCGCGAGAGAATTAGACGACCGCGCCAAAAGGAAGACTTGACAGGGTAGGGGGCGGGGACCGAGGAAAATACCGTAAAATTCCGGGGCATTTTTAAAGGCCCTTTTCGAGGGGATTATTTTGGGGGACGCTTATATTCGGAGGGGCTTATCTACGGAGGGAAATTTGCGTTTCCAAATCGACTGGGCTAGCCTTATAGTTGGCAGTATATTTACCATTTTCCTTTGTTTTACTTTGTATTTGAGGGCAATTTTTTGCAAGTACAAGCTCCCGGGGGGCTTATATTTGGAGGGGAGATTTAACGGAGGGTTTTTTGCGTTACCACTTTGGGGAGGCTTATATTTGGAGGGGCTTAAATATGGAGGAGCTTATTTTAGGAATTTTACGGTATTCTTCGTTAGGCTTTGCTTCCTTCGCCTCCCCGACCCCACCCATGTGTTTTTCGAGCTCACCTCGCTCGCTTTTTCTTTCGCGTACGTTGAAAATAGACAGGCTGTGAACAGTCTAGCGGGATACATGGTGATCGGTGACACCCGATTTTTTTTTGATAAGGTAAGGAAAAGAGAGGTAACTTCATTTCGAGTCGTAAACGTATGGAGTTGTTGCCCAATCTTCCGAGCTCATGATAAAAACGCACGACTATTTACAATAACATTACTACTTACAATTACTATATTAAAAAGGAAAAAAAAA